TGCGCCACCAGGGAGGGCCTAAAAGTTAACCTTTTTAAAAAAAAAGATGTTAATCATTATAATTTTCTAAATTTAGGCAGTATAGGCTGTTTCAAGACTTATATAATATTTCAAGTCATTTACGTCAACAAATTTCAAGCAAGATTCAAAACATTTGGGTGTGGGGAGAATTCAGGATTGGAAATATAAATATGAGAGTACTAATCACTAGGATCTTTAGATTGAGATCCTTAATCTAAGAGGATTGATAGGGCATACCAAAAAAAAAAAAAAAAAAACTGTGGGTTTTTTTTTTTTAGATACAGTGTTTTAGTTAAGAATGATGGCTATGCATAATATCGTAACTTTTTTAAAGTACATCAGCATTTTAAATATTTTAAACTAACATATGAACACATTTAGAAAATTTTAGACTTTCTGTTTGTTTTTAAACATTTATACGTGTCACCTTAATTTTAAACTTTAAGTAAATTTTGACAACATATCTCTAGATTAGTGTGTACCCAATTCCTTCTTCATAGCCACCCCCCAACTTCTAGCTAAAGCTAATCTTTTTCAAAGATGACTTTTGGTGGGTAAGGTTTTGAATTTTCAAAAAAAAAGTGTACCTTTTTAGTATACCACTTATTAAGGCAAAAATATAGATCAACATAGTTTAGAATGGTTTTTCTTTGTAAGATTGAAACAAAAAGACCCTCAATTAGTAAATTAAGTTAATGTTCTCTAAGTAGTGTGGCTGGTTAATAGATCCATGATCAAAGTGAAAATGCACATCCTGACTAAATGTTATGGCTGACGATTATACTTACAGCAAATGTGTTCAGAATACCAATGGGACTCCCCTATAGGGAGAAGATGAGGGCATGACCTAAATGGACAAAATAATCTTACATTTTAATGACAAAATTAGCATTTTAAAAATCAATTTAATAAATTAAAGAAATACCATAATACAGAGAAAAACACCTGCAGAAAGATATTTCCACCAAAGGATACATTTGACACATAACATAATATAAAATTGAACAAGTTTTGCTTGGTTGCTTAATATTTTTATTAGCTAAATCTCTCTTGGATTAGATTTAAGACTCTTAAACTATCAGGTTAATTCCAGTTATTTTATTACATGAATCAACCATAGGACTAAATGAAAGATGTAGGACTCCATGTAAATAAAGATGCTGTTACTTCAAGGGATCATCCATACTGTTTCATTAGTTGGAATGGCATAGTATACACATCGTTTTAATTTCATGAGGCAGTATTGACATGTGCATACTAATCAATTAATAAGTGTGATTGGTTACTCCTATCTTCAACCGGTATTTATGGAAAATCAATATGCAGATACCATGTTAGAGATTGAGTATACTGAAGCAAGACAAACATGGTTCCCACTCTCATGGAGTTTATAGTTTAGTGGGGAAGCTAAAGACTTGCTGGACAAAAAATTAAAGTGAGACATAGTCAGAGTCCTTACGGGAGAACTAGAGAAATGCCTTAGGAGCATAGAGCAAGGGATATAGCCCTGTCATTAAAAATACAAACCCAGGCCCTCCCTGGTGGCACAGCAGGTTAAAGCACAGCACTAAGAAGCAAAAGCCACTGCAGGTCCTCCCTGGTGGCGCAGCGGGTTAAAGCCCTGCACCAAGAAGCTTAAGCCACTTCTGCATGAGTTCGATCCCCGCCTGCCCTGTAGGAGATCCACATGGCCAGGCAGACCTCTCCTGGCCCGCCCGCTGCTCCCCTCAGCAGTGTACTTTGATCATCTGCCTGTTCTGCTCCCCACTCTGTCTCTGGTGAA